ACGCACCACACCTCTCAAATATACAACAACCAAACAAAAAATTAACAAAAACAAATATGCAAAGCTCACTGAACACTGTTATAGCTTCAACCAGCAAAACTTGCCTAAAAAAAACCTTCATTTTCTCACACCACACGAGTTACTGTCAAGATGCATTAACATATACAATAGATTTTCACCTTTCAACCAGCAAAACTTGTCAAAAATATTGGTAATCGACAAATTGCATTCCTCCGATGACTCACAATTCTTTGGCAAGTGGGGGTCCACTTCACTCTTGACCTAACCCTTTTTCCTATTTCTTTTCTCATGTGGTTCATCTTTTTTATTTCTCTTGTCGCATCCATTTCTTTTCTTTTCAACTCAGCCTTTCTTTTTTTTGCCCCCCCATTGTTTATATGATCAAACTATTGTCCAGCTCATTCTCTTAAGTTAGATGCCACATCATAGGTTAACGAAGTTAATGCCAATTTAGATGAATTTGACGGCCTAAAGTTACTAGGAACTAACGACCAGAAATGGATATAATTTGGAGGACCAATATTATGTGTTTTAAATTTTAAGGACCAATATCAACATGAACCCAAATTTCAAGAACCAAAATCTATATTAACCGTTTTGAGAAATATATAATCTCGCGTAGCAACAAAGAATATATAATCTACCAGCGGGGTTATGTCTAGTAGAAGGGACTAGTCCCTCATAACATGGCGAATCAATGTTTGAATCCCCGCTGGGAGAGGTGCCTACATTTAGTACCCGATAGTGTCTCAAATAGGATTGTCTCCAATAAGAGGATACCTATACTTCAGCCAAAAAAGAGAGAGAGAGAGAATATATAATCTCTAAATATTCTTGATCCAAATTCCAAAAATATTACAGACGCTTGGGAAAAAAATGAAATTAAAATAGAATACGATAATACATGTATCCGCCTGCTTTTAAAATATGTATAAATTTTACTGGAATAAATAAATTCAGTACACTTTATCGTAATTTTAAATTTGTCCACTCTTTTTTTACATAAATACCTTAAGTTTAACATTCTACCAAAATTTTAATATAAAAAAATTTTAAAAAATAAGAAAATTCATTTTAATATAAAAAAATTTTAAAAATAAGGTTAATATTATTTTTAATCTTTAAAATTTGAAATAAATAAAAAGCTTGTTTTAGAAACCAAAAACACTATTCTAAGGACAAAAATAATGTTTAAGCGGATAAAGATGAGGTTAAATTTCTGAAATTAATATCAAAACGAGATTAAATTTTAGGAATTAAAGATGACAATCTTTAAAAAAAAATTTTTTTTTTTAAATTCAACGGCATCATCCTACAAGTTGCTCGTATCAGACTGGATTTGGGGCTGTTCAATCTTAAAAACATTAGAATGTATATTTTTCTCCCAAGATTTTACTGAAGTCCCTCTCTTTAATTTATTATTGTCGTCGTCATCATCATCGTCAAATCAAACTTGAGCCACGTAATGGTTTGACTTTTTGTAGAGGAAATTAGCATCCACTTTCACTTCAAAAAGAAGATCCACATCTTTTTAGGAAACTTTTTTCCAATAGGCTTCCGACATTTTCCGTGCGACTTTTCATAGGTGAAACATACGTAAACTAAATTAATAAATTAACGCATTGGCTGATGCCTTTGAGAAGTTACACGAAATATTACTCCATTCATTCAATAGTAAATGTAGCAACTAAAAAATTTAGCTTAAACATAAATATAATATTTCAATTTATTTTGTCTATTAAAATAATCTAAGAATAGAAGAGACAATTTTTTTCGAGATAATATTAAACATTAAATATACATATTATTTAAATAAAAATTTAAATATTAGTTTACCACGTTATGAAATTATTCTTAAATAGATTCTAGATTCTGACATCTTAGCCCAACAGTACATGTATTTATGCACTTAGTAACAGTAAGCCCCTTGTGGCTTGTGCATTGTGGGGGTGTGTGTTTTTTCCACTGTGAAAGAGAATGAGAATAAAAATCTTAGGTTTAGGAAATGACGCCTTACACAATCGAGCAGACTAGCAACTACTGCTTGCTGTTTTAAATATAAGAGTTAATTGATTAATTTAAATAGATTAATAAAACAAGTTAAGTTAATTATTTGTAATAAATATGTGCTGTTTTTTTTCTAAAATATCATTATTAATCAAATTTATTGGTTAAAACTATCATTATTAGAATGACTATCTTAAAAAAATAAATATAAGAGACAAAGTGATTGTGGTCTTATATTTAGGACCAAAATAAAAAATCGAACAAGATCTTATATTAATGATAGAAGATAGTATCAGTTTCCATAATTTAACCACTTAGATCAACAATTAAAATAATATAATATTAAAAAAATTAATAAAAAAATAACTATACGCATATAATATGGGAATATGTGTATGAATGAAAGAAATAAATTCGTGATGAGTATAATCGTCAACATAATAACACAGAATATGTGAATTTTTTTTCTTTATGAAATGACACCATATGATTATAAATGATTTCAAAATGCAGTGACCCTTTTGAGATGGTCAATTTTTTTGCATCGATTTTTTATAAAAAAAATTTTAAGCCATATTTGCATCAAACCCTAAACCCATCTGATTTTCTAAAAGCCGTTTCAGGTCTCACTCTAATTTTGAGTCCTAATTCAATGGTAGTTCAAACGAGTTCAAAATGCCTTATAACTATTAGGTTCAAAGTGGCACCTCCGATTTAATGACATTTCAACTCTGACTTTTGCATGTGGAAGAGTTTTACATAACCCTCTCAAATATAGAGTAGAATTTATTGTATGATTAAAATGTCTTCTAACTTTAAAAGTTTTATGTTGCACCTGATTTCAATTGCAACCTGACTTGCTAATTGTCATCTTTTTAAGACATGATTTTTTCCCCTAATATTAGGAGAGATAACAATTAGTTTTAAAAAAGAAAAAAATTTAGGTCAAGTTATTTATATCTCTTATGTCAAATTCTCTAGTAATTCATAGTCATGTGTTTTTTTTTAATTTCATGTGAATTTATAATTAAATACTATTTAATGCTAATATTTGAAAAATAGAACATATGCTTATGTGTAATTGGTAAACTTGACACAATAAACATAAGAAACTTGATATAAGTATTATCCTTTAAAAAAATTAAATGGAGTATGATATCATTTTCCCTTCTAAATTTACGTCTAGTAAATATTCGCTTTCAGACTATCCCAGTAATTAAATTATCAATAGAAACATGTAAAAAGTTAAACACATATATTATTAAAAATTGAAAATAAAAACTATTGGTAGTGAAAAACATAAAGCCTGTAGAAAATATGCATGAATAAATCATCTCATAAAAAATTAATCATAGGCAGCATTATTTATAAGCCACCCTTGTTTGTTTCCTGCCTCATAGGCAGTTACTTCTAATACGTTTCATATAGACTAAAGAAACCTTAAATTTTATTAACTTTCATTTAAAATTAAATAATTTTCTAATTTTATCCCTATTTAATATATATTATATGTCATATAAATAAAATCGATACAATAATAAATAAAAGGTAAAATTAGACATCCATACGAAAGATTTTTTTTAATACTCTGTAAATATGACTAAAACATATATTCTTTCTTTGCCCTATAAGTAGGTCCAAAGGAGTAATTTATTTTAGCTAGGCACAAAATTATTTTGTCAAGTTCATCCAGCAACTTTCAAGTATATCTAAAATTGGTAAGATGGGTTGGACTTGCAGGGCTAATCTACCAACTCACCAAAAATGATAGGTTAGAGTTAGCTAAAAGCTAACCTGCTCTTACATGGGGCTTTTTTAACCCACATTGCCTAACTCTAACCCTCACGAGTCAATCTGCAACCCACGTGTTAGTCTGTGTTACCACCTTATGTGTCTATCACCTTAAAATATTATGTAGTTTTATTCTTAAAGTATTAGTTCTTTGAAAAGCAATTATGCTTTTAATGTATTATTGGATGAAAAGTTTTAACTTTATAGGATAGATGGAGAAGCTTTTCATATGAATTTATAATTTTATTTCTCGTTTGTTATTGCGTTGGCTTTATTCTTACTAGGTATAATGTATATATTGAAAGTTACTCATAAATAGAATTATATGAATATATATCAAATATCATAAAATATTTTTCAATATTTTTAAGGTGCTAAATGCACCTGAAAAATCCTTCAAAATACTACCTCTGATTCTAATTATGAGATCTCATTTTTAGTCTACAAATAAAATTTTATTAAGATGGGAGGTAGTATTAAATAAGTTATAAGATATTTTAGAATTCTAAATACAACTGAGTTAGACCCACCATAAAATATTTTAGGATAATAAATACCTGTGACAAAATAGTGGATCCACTTTAACCTTTTGTTTTAATTAGTTATTAAAAATTTAAGGAGAAAATTACACACAAGTCCCACAAAAAATAATTAATTCTGAAAAGTTTCTGAAAATTTTCAAATATTTCCTAAGTTCTCAAGGACCTCACAGTAAAAAATTAAAATTGTGAAATTACCTACTTACCCTCACCAAATGATAACATGCACAGCATATAGTCACAACCTATACAGCATCCAATCACAACCTACATTTGAGCCATTCACAACATGCATAGAAGCCAATCACAACCTATACTCAACCGAATGACAACATGCACAGTATATAGTCACAACCTACACAGCAGTTAATCACAGCCTTTTCAATCAATGAGAGCAAGTAGGTAATTTTATAATTTATTTTTTTGTTCTAAGATTTCTGGAGATTTAGGAAACATTTAGGGATTTTAAGGGACTTTTTTAGAATTAATTGTCTTTTATGAGATATGTGTGTAATTTTTTCAAATTTGTAAATGTTATTGCCGAGAGAAATTAAATGACGTTGGAAAATTTTCTGCCTAACTGCCCCACACATATTTATCTCTTCTGCCCACTGGGACTTGGCTTGCTTCTTCGGTTCTTTCTCTTTGAAGTCTCTTCTAGTGTGATTCATCTGAGTCCGAGTCCACAAAGTCTTGAAGTCCACCATCCATGGCGGTATGCGTGACCGACACGGCTCGAGCTGCCGCTTGCAGAAACGGTGAAGCGGCGGCTCACCTGAAAGTGGTCTCGCTATTTGTGATTTTCTTCACCAGTATGTTCGGCATGTCGTTGCCGGTGCTATTAGCCCGATATTTCCAAGGGAAATCGCTCTACGATAAGGCAATCGTGGTTATTAAGTGCTTCGCCGCCGGTGTTATCCTCTCCACTTCCCTCGTCCACGTTCTCCCTGACGCGTACGCCGCACTCTCCGATTGTCAAGTCGCTTCAATGCATCCATGGAAGGACTTCCCCTTCGCGGGCCTGGTCACGCTAATCGGCGCCCTGATGGCTCTGTTCGTGGACATCGCGGCGAGCTCGCATGTGGAGCACTCGCACTCGCACGCGCAGACGCAGTACGCACTCGTGGGAGCACAGGAGAAGCTGGAATCGGGCGAGTCGAAGGCCGAGTTGGGGACGAGTCGCGAAACCGAACGGGAAGCAGAGGAAATGGCGAAATTGAAGCAGAGACTGGTTTCGCAGGTGCTGGAAATTGGAATAATCTTTCATTCGGTGATAATCGGAGTGACGATGGGAATGTCTCAGAACGTTTGTACCATTAGGCCTCTCGTCGCCGCTTTGGCATTTCATCAAATTTTCGAAGGAATGGGTCTTGGTGGTTGCGTCGCTCAGGTCCGTAATCCTTCTTGCTTTTACAAATTAAAATCTCAGACTAGTTATCACCGAATTTTCAGCTAGTTTATTGTCTGCTGGATATAAATTTAATATAGTTGTTATAAAGAAATTAATTATAATTTGGGGATTCTTATTAATTTAGGATTTTACATTGTTAGACGTAAAATGATATTAAATAATGAGTTGTTTGAACTTTGGATCGGTTAAGCGAAGAAATTATTCAAAATTGTTAAATTAAATAAAGGTGCTATGGTTCTATGTTGAGAGTGACACTTTAGCTCCACCTTTTCTTATTTGCTTTGTGTCTGTATCACTTGCAACGATCTATGGAGCAATTCTGAATAGATTGATCAATTTATTGAAGTTCAGGAAATCAAGGTAATTGTACAGATTAATTAATTTCATCAAGAAATTATTATACGTTAATTGATAATTAGTTGTGTTTGTTAATGAGTTCCTATATATGTGGCTGATATAATAAATTTGGTCCCATTGCGAATCTAATGATAAAGGGAATTTGAAGTTTAGATGTTTAATGCAATGATCAATGAAATCAGAATAATTAAGTGGAGAGCATCTTCAAAGGATCAACCAAGTTCTGTGAACATAAATACCAGATGCATAAGGGTAAAGCCCTTTGCAGATCTTCTCCACTTTCTTGTTCCTTGATTTCTTGTAAATCTGAACAAAGAAAAGGAAAGAAGAAAAAAGAGATGCAGAGAGTAAAGTGAGAAAGTGAAAGGAGCCAACTTAGCAAGTTGATTTCATCTCCTTTTCTTTCTATCTTCAGTCAAAAAACCCTGCGAGTATCCAAAATTGAGGATGAAGATTTGCTTTAAAATTCTAAGCTGGAGAATAGTTATGGGATTTCTTCAAGCCTACGTCAAAGTATCACCTTTTTCCTGTTGAAGAATCTGATAAATATATTCATATTTACAAAATTGTGCAGGCTGGTTTTAGCTTTGGAACGACGGCCTACATGTGCTTTATGTTCTCAGTGACAACACCAATGGGGATTATACTGGGGATGGTGTTATTCTCAGTGACAGGTTATGATGATAGTAGTCCGAAAGCTTTGATCATGGAAGGCTTGTTAGGTTCAATTTCTTCTGGGATTCTGATTTACATGGCTCTGGTTGACCTAATTGCATTAGATTTCTTTCACAGCAAGCTTATGAACTCCAACCTGACGTTGAAGAAGGCTTCTTTTGTTGCCTTGACTCTTGGGTCTGCTGCCATGTCAATTCTAGCTTTATGGGCTTGAACTTAACCCCTCTTTTTGTTTTCTTCTTTTTTTCTCTGATATAGAATTTCTGTGCTGAATAAAACCTAGGGTTTATTAATGTAAGATGTATAGTCACTTGCTTGTCCTCACTGGCCTTTGCTTAGAATGTTGAGTGAGTAATGGAATGAACTGATAAATCATCAATGTTCAGTATGCGTGTGCGCGTGAAATCTTTTGGAAGGCATTAACAATAATGCGACTCATATCGAATTTCATGCAATTTGTGGATTCACATTCAATTGAGGAAAAGCATGTGAATCTATGTAATGGCAAAATTTTAAGCTCAACCTCATGGGAAATGTGTAAAAATTAAGCCATGGGATGCTTATGTACAACACATATGCACAAACGGGGACATATATTAAGTTTGTTGAAAATATATATTCGTTCATTTCACGATTTAAGATTTTTCTTCCCCAACTTAGTTTGATCGAAAATATAAATTGAGATTAGTGGTATTTAATATTATTTTGTCTGGTATGTCGGTTTGTACCATGCAACTTTGTAATAATCATTTCATTATATATATATATATATATTAATCTTATACTACTTCCTATTCTAATTAGAAGAACCAGTTGACTAATTTGAGGAGATTAACGAAATAAGTTAAATTAGTTATTTGTAATAAATAGGTACTGTTTTTTTTTAAATATCCTTACTAATCAAGTATATTAACTAAAACTACCATTATTAGAAGGATTATCTTTAAAAAAAAAAGATAAATATGAGAGATAAAGTAGATTAGGGTCTTATATTTAGGATCAAAATAAAAGTCAAATAAGGTCTTATATTAAAAACCGGAAGTAGTACAATTTAGTTGGGAAAAAATTTATACCAATGCTAGGTTCAAAACTGAAATTTTATCCAAGCGTGACTGAGTTTATAGAATTTTATACAATTTAATTGTTCTTTGTTGATAGAATTTCGATTAAACTCATCTTACAAATTTAATCTTATAAAATGATATTTTATAAAATACCAAGGCTAATATGTTACATCTAACATATAAAATAAAGAATATATTAAATTAATCATGATCTGTCCGAGTTCAACCTGCGTTCGATTTTCAAAACTTCAACACTTTTTAACTTACTTTATCTCCCTCCCACACTCACTTTAAATGAATACATATACATACATACATATATATATATACGTATATATATAAAGTTAAAAAGTAAAGGCGCATTAATTGGCAAAGAAGATGGTTGGAAAAAGAAGCACGGCAATAGCAATACAAGTGGAGGGGAAAATAAAAATGTTGTAATGGTAATGCCATTGTTAATGCATTTCCAAGTTGTCACAGTTATGTGTATCCATGCTTCCGTCTTTTTGTTTTTCAAAATTTTCTTCTTTGTCTTAACCTTCGAGAGTGGTTGAAAGTATATACAGATTCCACTATGTGCCTCCTCCTCAACTTTAAAAGAATGTCATTTGTGGCCATATTTAGAGTTTTTTTTTATTTGTCTTCTCTTCTTTTTCTTGAAGATGGTTTTGGCATTATCAGTGATGATAATTGATGATACCTCTGTCGTTAAAGTATTCAATTAATGTAGGTCCTAATTAATTTGTAGTTTAGTATCAACCTAGGTCATTATTTTCAAGAAGCAAATTATGGGTTTTTTTAGGTAAAAATTTAGGTGATGAAAAATGTAATAAAATGGACCTAAACTAAAATACAAAATTCTAATTCTAAATACAAAATGCAAATGCCCTAAAAATCTATATGAAAATTAAACTAAACTAAACGAATGCAATACAATTTTTAGGGGATTTTTTTGAAGAAAAAATTAAAATGATAAACAAGGAAAATGGACTAAAGAGCAAAGAAAATTAACAAGTAAAAATTGAGAAGTTTCTCTTCAGGTATGATAGAGGGAACAACTTAGAATTCGCATAGATTTAACCTTCATAACCCTAATCAATTAATTACACCAAAGGAACGTGATAAGAGAGTGGAATTAATAAACTTAATCACCTACTTGAACCAAAGAGAACCCTCAACTCAAAAAAACCTTGAACCATTAGAGAACTCATAACGGTGTAAGGTTGGTTAATTAAGTTTATTAAAACTAATGAAAATAACTCAAATTAATTTTGAAAATTATATTTGCAATTATCCAATTAAACAATTAGATAATTAACCAACTTAATTAAACAATTAAGAGGCAAAAGAGCCCAAATTTTGCAATTCAAACTACATTGATAATTAAATCCATAATAAAAACTCAATTATAAATTAAATTAATAATGCAAAGGTTCATAAACATAAATTCCATCAAGTGTCTCAACATAAATATCAATCCAATCTAAGAGTAAAAATGACAATCTAAAACTAAATTGTCTCACAAAAATACAATTTAAAATTATTTAAAACCAAATAATCTTAAGTCTTTGAATTAAAAAGATAAATGGAATATCACTTCCTTATAGTCTTCAAGTGTTAGCCCAAGGTTCAAGCCTTCTCCATACTCCTTCCAAGTTGTCTCCCTAACAAGTTTAAGCCTCCATCAACGTATCACCTCCTCCAAACTCCTTAGTGCAGTTCATGGGTATGTGACGCAATGAATAGCGAAAGTGATGCCGGGTGGATAATTGAGAAGTGGTGTGACTGAAGGGATTGGGATAATGAATGGTTTATGAGTAAGAGATGGAGTGGAAGTTGAAGATGAAACCCTAGAGAGAGAGCTTTTCTTGATCGAGTCTATGGCTGAGAGAGTGAGCGTTCACGTGAATATGGGATGAAGGAAGATATGATGCAAGCGTGAATCCTTGCTCTCAAATAAGGAAAATATTTTAATGAGAGAAAAGGAAATTTTTGTGGATCCAAAGCTCAAGTCCATTAATAATTAATTGACCTACTTGATATTAGTCATTAGATTATACTTAAATTCCAAGAAACAATCTTACATCATTGGATTTCCTATATGCTCTTTCTTGACCTAGAAGAAATTAAGTGCATCCATTAATGTAGATTATATCCAAATTTAATATAATCTATATCAAAATTAAATATTAGATATGCACAAAAATTAGGCAAGAAATTGCAAAACTTTCTAAAAATAATCTTTCTAAAAATATAAGACTTGTTTCCAAAGAAATAAAAAACTTAATTCCAAGTCAAAATAGGAAATCACAAAATATTTATATTTTTAATCCAAAATCTCAATTTTTTTAATGAAAAATCCAAAAATCAATCAATTAATCCAATTATGCATAAAAATCCATTTAAGCTCAAAATTATCATTTAATTCCTGAATTAATGTGGGATAAAATATATAAAATTTAGGCTTTATCAATTCCTCCACACTTAGCCTTTGCACTCTTGGGCAAAGCAAATGAAGACCAAAGAGTAGTAAAAAAACAAAAGAAAATCAAACAAAGGTGAATGTTCCAATCACAAGCAAAAAGCAAATCAAAGCATTCAACGTCTCTCTTATCCAAGTAATCTTTTCATGAATAAAGAAAACAAACATCATGGCAATTTTCTTAACAAGGGGGAATCGAAGTCAGAAATCCCTCACCAAGGTTAATGTGTATATCACTCATCACTCAAAAGTATATTGGTTTATGTTTGCACTTAAAACCATGCTATCCAATCCTCTTTCCATAGGCTTGACAAGAATCTAAATTCTTCACCAATCACAAAGCAATTACAAGCATAAATCAAAAGGACTTTTATTAGGTTGTAATGGGCTAAGGTAAAGAAAGAAAGGATATAATGCTTGGGGAAACAAAGTTGAACATCTTAGGAAATGAAGAGAGTCAGTGAAAAAAAATAGTGGAATGCAAGAAACTAAATTAAACTTGAATTAGGTTATTCTTCTCCTTCTTTCTTTGTTTTCTTTTTCAAGCTTTTTTTTTTTTTTAACTTTCTTAGGCCATTATGTACATGCTCTTTTGACGCAAACTTTCATATTGGTGATACAAAGGCCTGGTTACTCAAGCATGGATAACTCATTGGCACTAAGATGCTACTAGCACAATCATAGCCCTTACTGGTCGTTTGACGCGAAGATCGACATTGGTGATGAAAATCCTTGATTACTAAGCACAGCTTAAACTAGAGGAGTGGAATCTTATTACATATTCTTTTTTTTTTCCTTTTCATTTTTTTCCTAATTGATCCAAACCATAACTCTAAATATATTCTTCTATCATAAGCACATGTAATATAGTACTCTTCAACTCCTAAGATTTAGAAATGTTAGGATGTCTTTTTTTTTTTTGGTTATGGCTAAGTGAAAAAAATGAAGGCTCAAAAGGGGTTAAGCAAAGGATAAATGTATGAAAAGGGTAGGCTTTTGGCTTATCTGGCTAGAAAAATTGAAACAAATTTATCATCTTTATGAATGTAAATGCACAAATATGGTCTCAAACAAGATTCAAATCAAGTTCTAGATCAAGGAAAGAGATAGGGGTATACACACATGAAAAGAAGAAATGCTTTAGGCTCAAAACCTCACTAGGCACATGATTACTAGCTCAAATTCACCTAAGTCAAATCTATTGCCACTTAATTCATCCACTTAAGTCATGATCGATCACTTTTCAAATCAAGAATGCATTATACTTGAATCACTTTAAACTTGTAATCTTCACATTCAAAACAAAACAAAACATTTTTTTTTTAGTTTTTTTTAAGAGGAAGCCAAAACAAAAGTAAAAACACACCTAAAATAAAAAAATTAAAAGAATAAAATCCTTCCCCCACACTTAAACAATGCATTGTCCTTAATGCATAACACATAGGGCAAATCACAAAAATAAGTAGTATCCAGCACAGCCCAACTCAATAATATAACAATGCAAAGCAAAAAGAGTGAAGGGAAGGAATACAACCGGGGCTATGTGGTGTCTCATAGTGTGATGACCTCTACGTCTTGGGTGGAGAATCCCTCATAGTAAGGCTTCAAGCGATGACCATTGACTGTGAAGCATCTTCTAGTTAGCTCTCTCTTAATCTCTACAGTTCCACAGGGAAAAGTGACAATGAAAAGTCCCTCCCATCTAGAACGGAGCTTACCAGACATGAGTTTAAGTCTAGAGACATAAAGTAGAACTTTTTGGCCCACGTGAAACTCCCTTCTCAAGATGAGCTTGTCATGGATAGCCTTAGTTCTTTCCTTGTAGATCTGAGTGTTCTCATATGCTTCTCTCCTAAGCTCTTTAGGTTCTTGCAATTGTA